AGAGAGAGAGAGAGAGGGGGGGGGGCATTAAAAAGCATCTAGAAAAAAAAACCTGAAGCGCATTGTGTACTTTCGTAGCTTTCATTAAAACTTAAATTTTTTTGAATTTCAACAAAATGTTTATTAGTCACTTGCAAATGTTACCCAGGTTGTGTAAAATGATTTTTTCTTTAAGTCAATCTTTTTAGACTGACCTTTTCTGAAGAACTGGCTGATATAATAGGCAAAATTGGACATTGACCAATGTAACACAACTGTCTGTTAGAGAACATCACTTCCTGGCTCTACTACTAATGTACTCACTATTTTTATGTTTTTTTCCTTCTACTGTTTCTGTCTATCTGCTTCATCTTTTCTTTGCACTTAAAGCAGGTTAGATCGATGTGCTTCTCTTTCCTCAAACTCTAACTAACAAGCTGCGGCAATTAAAATTGTCTGTTTTATCCGATCTCCACAGGTATTAAAGTGTTGTATTTTTCAAGAATACCCTCAGTAATTACAAATAATAAGTATTTCTCAGATCCCTCACAGTGATCACAAATTAGTGTTTTCTCAGATTCACACATTAAATGTAATTTATTACAAATTATAGATCTATGTATAATTTTCTCAGATCCCCCACCAAGACAGACATCATGAACGTGGCAAAGATCCCCATCTTTCTCCTCCTCGTCCTTTGTGGCTCCGCGTTGTGCGAAGAGGTAAGTCGAGTTTTTGTTTTGTTTTCTTTTGTTTATCTGTGGTTGTTATTGTTGTTTGTTTGTTTGTTTGTTTATTTGTTTTTGGGGTGTTGTTTTGGATTTTTAATTGTGTATACCTGTTTAGGAGTCCAAAGCCTGTTGCTCAATAGCTGTTAAATATATGTATGGTTATTAGCGTCTTGGCAGACGATCTTAAAACACAATGTAATGCATGATTTAACAACTTTGCCTGGAAGGTAGACACAGAGGAAGTCGATAGCCAAGTACTTTTTCCTTCCCTTCTTATCTTGGTTTTCTTCATACGTTCCAAATATGGTCAATACGTTTGGAATTAGTGAAGACATAAGAGAGTGTCTTCCTATGTTACATGTTTCATAATTGGTACGTAGTGATGATATGTTTAGAAGCACCCAAACCTCCCCAACTTTGGCGGTTACTCCCAGTTGAAAATACCACTAGTATTTCGATCTGATGCCTTCTTTACAGAACATTATTATGTTCTATGTACAATTATAATGAGCTAAACAGGCTGATATGTTAACTAGACATTAAAAGTTCAGATTTTGCACGGTCAGTAACCTACGACTTTTCCCCTTACATACTCCAGAACAGAAAGTTCACTCATTTGAAAGAAAGCATTGTTATTTAACAAAACAAATCAAACAATAACCTGGCTGGGATTAAAATCCAGCTGTGAAAACAAACTGGAAGAAGACTCCGGTCCGAGTTGGATATTGACTCGTTTTAGCAGTTCTAGAGTTAGTAAGATTTTTACGTCCCTCCCATAATAAATAGGTCATAAAAGGGCCGAAGATAAGAGGTGTTACCACAGAGACACATACATGTTCGATGAAAATAGGAGGAGGTCAATAGACGATAGATGTTTGATGGGAAAAGAGCAAACCACACAAGAGTATCTGCCAACCACCCACAGACTCTTCATGTACGGCAATGCCTGTGCTTTCATTCGTGCTCACCACCGATGGGATTGGGACGATCGCCCGACTCGGTTGCCTCAAAAACAAACGTGTTTGTTTTCAGTTTCACTTGACCGAGTCGGGACATCGGCCCGATCCAGCATTAGTGGGCACCCCGTAAAAGCTGTCGCGTCCGCGTCCTCGGAGATCTTTCCCCGTCCCCCCAAGAACCTTTATGACCTGAACTACGGCTGCCTAACCTCTGGTCAATATAATGGTTAGCTCGTCAACATTTCATTTAAAGAATCACAGAAGCGGTTATGATTTTGCGAATTTCCATTAAAAATGATAATTTTAAAAAAATCATTCCAGC